CATCCGCGATCATTTGATCAGTCGGACAGTAGATCAACTCAATCTCCTTCTTCTCGCACAAATCCTTAACGAAATTCTCTCTCGTGTCAATATGCTTGGAGCGTCGGCTCGAACGCTCCGTCTTCACAAACGCGAGGCAACCCTGGTTGTCCTCGTTCAACGCTATTGGACCCTTCTGCTCCTCACCAAAGTCGCGCAGAAGTTGCCTCAACCATACGGTCTCTTGGCAGGCTTCGCTGAGCGCCACGTACTCGGCCTCCATATACAAGAGAGTGACGGAAGTCTGGCGACGGCTGGCCCATGAGATCACTCCTCCTGCAAACAAGAACACGAAACCGGATGTCGATTTTCGACTACCGACGTATCCGGCCCAATCGGAATCTGCATACCCGATGAGTGCTTGATCTGGATCTCCTCCTAGTCCTAGACTGTAATCGGCCGTAGCATTCAAGTATCGGAGTACGCGTTTCGCAGCGGTCCAATCCGCTACTCCCGGAGCACTGAACTTGCGTCCAAGTATTGCAGTACTGGCCGCAATGTCTGGTCGAGCGTTGACAGCAAGGTACAATAATCCGCCTACAAGACTCCGGTATTTCGTTGGATCTTCGAAAGTTTGACCTGAATCGTCCGTTTTCAAGAACCCAGGCTCCATGGGTGACTTCGCCATCTTGGCCTGCTCCATCCCATATTTCTCAATCAGCTTCTCGATGTAGTTCTGCAATCGAATTCTGTAGACTCCATCTTTTCGCTGCACCTCCATTCCGAGAAAGTGTCGAACTGCACCAAGGCATGTGAGTTCGAACTCTTCCTTCAGAGAGTCGGATAGTCGTTTGACTTCTCGTTCGTCAGTTGATCCAATCAACATGTCGTCAACATAAACAAGTAGGAACACTCGAGTTGTACCTACAGTCCTCACATACAGGCACGGATCAGCGCCTGGTGGTTTGAATCCTCGCTTCGATAAAGCTTCGTTCAGTCTTCGATGCCAGCAACGTGGTGACTGCCGCAAGCCGTAAATACTTCGCTTGAGTCTGCAAACAAACTCCTCCTTTCCGGGTACTGCACATCCAGGGGGGCGCATTAGCATCTCCTCGTCCAATGACCCGTAGAGATACGCGGTCTTCACGTCGAGATGTCGCACGACCATGTTCTGCTTTGAAGCAACTGCAAGAAACGTTCGCATAGTTACCTGACGTGTTACCGGTGCGAACACCTGATCGTAGTCTACTCCATGCTGTTGCGTTGCGACAAGTCTGGCTTTGTATTTCACGACTTTATCCTGCTCGTTGCGTTTGACCTTGAATACCCACTTTGACCCCACTATCTTTCGTCCTTGGGGTAGTGGAACAAGCTCCCATCTACCATTGTGCCGAAGAGATACAAGTTCATCCTCCATCGCGGTCCGCCACTCGGGTATCTTAACGGCTTCTCGGAAGTATGAAGGTTCTTCTACTGCACATGCCGCAACACCTACGGTGTAATCCAACACATAATCATCAAAACGCTTTGGCACTGTTCCACGATTCTGCCGACTCGATCGGCGTGACGTAGCTGGAACATCTCCGTTTTCTTCATCAGCTTCGTAGAACTCCTCCTTATCAGCTGACTCCGCATCGCTTTCAACCTTCTTCTCCTTGAAAGGCAGCAGCTTGATTTCATCCTCGTCGTTCTTCTCAGGACCGCTGGATGCAGAAAACTCCACTGAACTCTTCCCATTACCAAGCTCGATGAACCTGGCGTCTCGACTCACAGTTACCCGATCCGTTTCACGGTCTACGAAGCGGTAGCCTTTATGCTCCATAGAGTAGCCCACAAACGTAAGCTTTCGCGCCTTGTCTTCCATTTTTCCTCGCTTCGCCTCTGGAATGCGTACGAAAGCCACGTTGCCAAACACTTTCAGGTGCCCTACTTCGGGCTTACGATTCCACCACAGCTCGTATGGCGTTTTCTGAACGGATCTGAACGGTTCTGCAAATAGGTGCAGCATTGATGGAGCCGTGAAATGAAATGAATATATCTTATGAAAGTTCACCTGGAAAAGTCAAAGATTTCACGTAGGCTTGATGAAAATTATGATTTAATGCTAATTTTCACGAATTTTATATGCAGTCTGTCAACATTATCATCATCATGCAGTGGCGACATCTGCGTTGAGCTTTTGCGGCAATCTTAAAATTGAGTGCGATGCAAGCAGGCTTGCTTCCACTCACTTGCTATAAAAACATGATTTTCTGAATTTTGAAATCATTAGATATTATGATCATATTTTGTACTTGTTAGATACAACAAGAGGTTGAAGGGCAAGTGTTTGACACATGAAACCTGTCAAATTTGCTTTCTGATAGTCACAATCAGCGATTTTACGACTCGCGAGCGCTCACTCTGAGTGATCGCTGATTGTAACACTCTGGTAGCGTAATTGACAGGTTTTATGAGTCAAACACTTGCCTTTCAACCTCTTCTTTCAAACTATTCTACTTCTAGTAGTTCTCACTTCGAAATGTAGGTGGTGAAAGCTTGGATAAGTTTCACTGCAAGACGCCAATTAATTATATGATTTCAGTAGTAGCTATACTGAAGATCCAAGAGATGTCGCCCCTTCAGTGGTAGGAAAATCATTTTTGCAGTATGGAGAATTTCAGAAAATCCACGATTTGTGACAAAATATGCTTTCACAGAAGGAAAAAAATAAACGAGTGTTTACCTTATCACTATAGTAATATACTCGTGCAATTTTTGTGCATCTAAAACTGCCCACAAAGACGATAATGAATAAAAACTGAAAATTTTCATGCATTTCCAAATGGTTTCCTACCATTCCCATACATTCGAAAGTGACTGGCCCTCTGGATGTGGATGATGTCAAAAACAACAAAACATGATTAATTGGCGTCTTGCAGTGAAACTTTGTCTGTGGTGAAACTTTTCCAAGCTTTCGCCACCTACACTTCGAAGTGAGAACTACTAGAAGGAGGATAGTTTCCAAATTTTCCAAGCAAAACAGACGCTTTTTGGGGCAAATCGGTCCATAAAGAAAAACTAATAACACAGACAAACAGACATAACACTCGCAAGCTGTTCATCGAACAAGCATTTAACGGCAAATTTAAAAGTATCGTAGTTGGTAGTACCGCCACCTGTGGCGCGCATAGTCAATTCCCTTGCGTTTGACGTTTACTCACTACCGCCATCTGTTCAGCGTAGTGCCCACCACAGTGTACTCAACAGATGGCGGTAATGTTTTAGCGACGATGTTTTAAAGTGAGAAATATTCAATGTGTTATGTCTGTTTGTCTGTGCTAATAATTTCCGGTGGATACTTTTGCTTGAATCGTGTAAGAAAACGTGTTTGCAAACTAACTGTTATTATTTCGGTATGGATCGGAGATGTTTTCATGGAAAATTATGCATAACAAGTTTGCACCCACAGGGAGAGGTTACCTCCTGCGCAGCTGCATTTTTCGGAAAATGGTGAATATGTGCGATTTCCACTAGGATGAAAGTGGAAATTAAGTGAATTTACTTAGGAAAGATTGTATCATGCTGGTGGTAATAGAGAATTGGGTGTATGGGACGCCAAAATTCAATAAATGCTCATTTTGGCCTTTTTTAAGCAAACATATTGATACTCACAATTTTTGACGAAAAACGCACCGGAGCTTGATTTACTCAACACGCACCATACTATAAAATGGTGCTAGATGGTCTTCAAAGTGATAACAAGATGACAAATCATCTTTATTTTGAGTAATTGAGCAATTTACTTTTGTTTACCATCATATTTACGATGCAGCATTGATGGAGCCGTGAAATGAAATGAATATATCTTATGAAAGTTCACCTGGAAAAGTCAAAGATGCACATCAGTCTGATCGTAAAAACGTTTTCTTCTTCAATTCGAATATTATATTGGAAGGATTTCACGTAGGCTTGATGAAAATTATGATTTAATGCTAATTTTCACGAATTTTATATGCAGTCTGTCAACATTGCAGTGGCGACATCTGCGTTGAGCTTTTGCGGCAATCTTCCAATTAGTTCTGCATAGTGGAGCGATTTTCCGCCCAATCTCGCCTATTTCCCCTGCAGGGATAGAAATCTCCTTATACCTTTTGGCAAATTTCTATTGCTGATTATTCATAAAATGTATAAGTCAACTAATAAGCAGACGCCTTGCAAAAAGTTAATGAAGATCATGTGTTAAGCGGTTACACATACCTTTTATGCATTCTCATAGGACCTATGTGGTTTATCTTATGGAATGTATAAGCAACAATCAATACGAAACTAACGATTTTAAATTGGCTCACTACTTGACTAGCCTATTGGTCCCAAGCAAACGATTAACGTATCCCATTCTAGTCGAAATTCTAGTACTACGCAATGTTTGTTTTGATTCGCTATGAAAGTTTGACAGATAAAATGAGGGTTTATTGGTTTTTCCTATGTTTCGAGGGGTGTTGTGCGAGCAACCGACAGGAAGAAAAATATTTCCAATTCTCTAACATTTATTTCACGGGATGTTAAAAAATCCCTTCGGGAAGAATTAATAAGAAATACATACATTAGTTTGGGCTTGGGCTATAAGCTACAATTCGTGTGTATCTTTATGTTTAGGATACTTGTTAGATGTGTTTGTTTTTCTTAATATACGAGTTTATGTTGATGGCTACTTACGTTTACTGTTCTTCTAGTAATAAATCTGTCCGTACTCGCAACAATCCGTACTATTTATGTGTAGCTGTGGGAAATTTTTATGGTTAGGTTAAACTGTGCATGATTTGCCTTTTGATTTTTTACCTGCCTTTTGTCTTTGTGTAGTTAGTAGTATAGTTTGTAAGTAGTTCATAAGTTTGCAAAACACCGCCCTAGTATTTAATCTAGATTTATGTAGGAGTAATTAATTTTTAAACAAGGTTGTTCCTCTTTCACAAAAAACCTCACCTATTCACATGGAAGTTGTTCACTCTTTTGCCCTACCAAGAAAAAAAACTTCCACATCATCGCGTTTGACAGCTGGAAACCACGGTCGGAGTTGGATTCTGGTGGCGAGGTTTTTGTGGTGCATTCTGCCACCGAGGTTGTTGTGGTAGGAGAGGTGCGTCACAAGGCACAGGGTTGTGACACTCCCCCTCGGTACGCCGCTGTTGTTCGAGTGGCTTACCACCGTTTGCACCGACGTCTAGCACCGCAATCTTGGTCGCTGGTCTCTCCAGAAGTCCGCTCGACGTCTGAACGGTCACGCGCCGAACCTGTCCGTCGGTTGCCTGAACTGCCTTGACCACGCGTCCTCGCGGCCAACAGTTTCTCGGAAGCTTGGAGTCAGCTATCAACACCAGATCACCTTCCTGGATAGGTTTTACGGGTTGAAACCACTTTGTCTTGCGTGTCAACGTAGGCAAGTACTCGTCAATCCACTTCTTCCAGAAGTTGTCGGCGTATACCTGGGCCATCTTCCACGATCGCTTCAGCACAGTGGGACTGTCGTCGAAAATGATTGGGGGCTTACTCCCATCCGAAGAACCTAACAGAAAGTGGTTCGGTGTTAAGGGGGGGTCAGTGTCATTATCTAGAGGTATGTCAGTGAGCGGTCTTGTGTTCAATATCATCTCGATCTCCATTAACATGGAACGAAGAATTTCATCCGAAGGCAAACGCGGGGGGTCGAAATCGTTCATGGTCTTCTTGACAGACTGGATCAGGCGCTCCCAGCATCCACCAAAATGTGGAGCGGTCGGAGGGTTGAACGTCCACTTGGTGTTAAGACCGACGAACTCGACCATCAGTTTCTTCTCGTCGACGAGTTTCAGAGCTTCGCGCAGCTCCCTCGAGGCTCCGATGAAGTTCGTTCCTCGATCGCTAATCATCTCGAGCGGTGGACCCCTTCTAGCAATAAAATTGCGTAGCGCTAGGATGCAAGAGTCTGTCGTCAGCGAATGTGCTATTTCAATGTGCACGCCTCTGCTTGTCATACAGGTGAGAAGTACTCCCCATCTTTTCTCGGTACGTCTGCCGACTATCACTGGCATCGGCCCGAAATAGTCGACTCCGGTGTAAGAAAACGGTCGCTGGAATGGTGCCAACCGGGCAGCTGGGAGGTTCCCCATTGCTGGAGGCCTGGGACTCGCTTGCCGAATTTTGCAACGCTGACAATTTCTGCGAACTCGTTCGAACTCTGTACGGAGACGGGGAATGTTGTACTTTAGTCGAATCTGGTTCAGCGCAGTGTGGTGATTCTGGTGACGGTATCTAGCGTGGTAGTCGCCGAGCACTAGATCGGATACGTAGTTGCGCCTGGGCAGAAGGATCGGATTCTTGGTAGATTCATCTACATACTCGCAAGCATCGATACGTCCACGCATCCGTAGAACACCGTGCTCATCGATGACTGGGCTGAGCTTATATAGCGGGCTAGTCTTCGGCAAGGTACGCTCCCATGGCTGCACCCCTGGGTTACTGCTGCAGATCAGTTGGATTTCGTCCGGGTAAGCTTGCTGTTGAACTTGTCGATAGATGATGCTCTCGGCACGATTCAACTCCTCCTGCGTTAGCGGACCAAGTTCTGTGGCCGTTCTATTGATATGCTTACGAAGATTCACCACAAAGCGATGAACGTATGCAACTGTCCTCAACAGCCGTTTCCATTTGGAGAAGCGTTCAAAATATAACAAAGGTTCGGTAATTGTATGATGAAGAACGCTGAGACGGATTTCTTCCGTGGTTGATCCTTGATCTCCGCCGTCGCCAGGCCATTCACTTTCAGGTTCCCACAAAAAATCGGGACCACGGAACCAACGACTGTTTGGCTGAAAGTCTGGCAACCGTGCCCACTTCGTCCCATCGTCAGCTACGTTCTTTCTGGTCGGAATCCATCTCCACTCGTTTACTTGTGTTGTATCTAGTAGCTCGCTGATCCTGAATGCCACAAATTGGCTGTAGCGTCGGTGATCAGAACGGAGCCAACATACCACATCCCTGGAGTCGGTCCAGAAAACCCGTCGCGATATTTTCATTCGGTGTGAGTTAGTGATACATTCAGCTAGACGAGCGCCTATTACGGCCGCTTGCAATTCAAGTCGCGGAATCGAGAGGAATTTCAAAGGGGCCACCTTTGTTTTTGAGCCAACCAGCGCGCACTCCGTATTTCCCTTTTCTTCGAACCTGAAGTAAGCCACGGCAGCCATTCCGTTTTCGCTCGCATCGCAGAAAATATGCAATTCCACGGTATTCGTAGATTCAGCAGACGTCGCATTGCGGTAACAGCGAGGTACGCTCACTTGTCGGACGTTCGGCAACGCTTCTACCCAGGTTATCCATCTTTCGGCTAGCTTCCCGTTGATTTCATCATCCCAGCCGCATCCGGCACGCCAGATTTCCTGCAGTAGGATCTTCAAGTAGATGAGGAAATTGGAGATGAGTCCCATAGGATCGTAAATCGCCATCAACATACGCAGGACTTCTCGTTTGGTAGGCATCCTGCTTCCGGAAAGCAACTCCACGTTGTGCTTCGGTGAGATTCGGAACGTAAACGAATCGGTGGCAGTATCCCACCACATGCCTAGCACCTTTTCTGTTGCCATGTCCGCACAAAGGCTCATGTCCTTCTCTGTGGTACTGGTTTCGTGTAAACGCTTGACGACTGCTGATGAATTCGACAACCAGTTACGTATTTCGAAGCCACCCTGTGAGTGAATGGATCGGACTTCGCTCGCTAATTTCACCGCTTCCTCTTCAGTCTCAACGCTGGCCAACATGTCATCGACGTAGTGTTCGTGTTTGATGCACTCGACTGCCCTTGGATAATCTTCCACGAATCTGTCCGCATTCTGGTTCTTAACGTAGTGCGCGCAACTCGGTGAACATGCTGCACCGAACGTCATTACTTGCACCACGTACACCTCCGGTTCTTCATCAGGATCTCCGCTGATCCACAATATCATCTGGCTTCGTTGGTCTTGCTTTTTCATCCTGACTTGAAAGAACATTTCTCGGATGTCTCCCACAACTGCGACGCGGAATTCTCGGAACTTGAAGAGAACGCTAAGCAACGACACCAACTGATCTGGTCCCGTAAGGAGAAATGAGTTCAAAGAGACACCGTTAACTCTCGCTGCCGCATCGAACACGATACGTATCTTCCCTGGTTTGTTCGGGTTGATTACCGGGAAAATTGGCAAGTACCAGTCATTCGAATGCTTCTGCGATTTCTCCGCCGTTGAAAGCCGCCGAATGTAGCCCTTCTCTTCATATTCAGCCATCTTCGTTCGCACTGCCGCACCCAGCTCGAGGTCTCGCTTCATCCGCTTCTGCAGACAGTCCAACCGCTTCAGCGCCATTGCCTTATTGTTTGGCAACTGCACTTGATCGTACCGCCACAATAATCCGGTTTCGTAGCGCTCTCCAGTGAAACGCGTTTCGGATGATAGGATCTGCATCGCTCGTTCCTCGTCCTTTGAGAGTAACGGTTTAGATGATCCGGAGATTCCCAAGGAATCGATCGAGAAGTATTTCTTAAGAGCCACGTTCAATTGCGTTTCCTCGTCCTTAACGCATGGACAAATGTGGAAACTATGATAGCCACTATAGTCAGCGGTCGATGCACCGGATGCCATCTCACACCGTCCGTAAACCAGCCATCCGAGTCGGGTTTTGGATACTATCGGTTCGTTTTCACCTCCTTCGATGCTTCTCAAGGCGTGTCCTAGCCGACAGTTGTTCATTCCGATTAGGATTCTGGGGGAAACTCTGTCGTAAGATTCCAGGGGTAACCCAGTCAGGTAGTTGTACTTAGTTGTCAACTGTGACACTAGCATCGACTGCTTTGGTAGAGAAAGATCCCGAACCGTGTGAACCTCAGGGAGCTCGAAGACTTGTTTGGCGCCGTGCGTACCAGAAATCTTCAGCGCTAGGACAACCGACTCTTCTTCCTTCCGCTGATGGCCACCTGTCCAGCTGAGACACAACGGATGAGATGTGCCTTTGAGCCCGAGTTCTTTCATGAGACTATGCTCCATTAAAGTTGCCGACGATCCGTCGTCAAGGAAAGCAAAGGTTGTCAGCTGCTTCTCCTTGCCATAAATTGTCACAGGCACGTATCTGAAAAGAATCTTTGCTGCCGGCTTCGAATGTGTGTTGCAGCTCTCCGGTGGACTTCCGCTTGGTGACGATTCAGGAACGGTGGGTTTGCTGTAACGTTTATCATCGTGTAGTAATTTACTGTGCATGAACGAGCAGCCGTTCCTCCCGCATGGTGATTTGATCTGGCAGGCGCCGAAATGCTTCCGTAGACATTTTCTACAAAGCTTCTGCTCCTTGACGATAGTCCACCGAGATCCGACATCCATATCGAGGAACTTCTGACACGTTTCAGGACCGCTACATTGTTCCGAACAAACAGCACACCTCTTCAGTGCAACTGCTGGGCGATCTTTCGAAGCGGCATCCTTGACTGCGTAGCTATCGGTATGAACGTTGACGTAATTCTCTTCTTTCCGGTTGCGTCTTTCAGGTTTGGGACCACTGATGGAAGGTATCGTGACAATGCTCGCTGCTTCGACTAAATTCCCCAGCCAATCTCCAAAATCCGACAGTGTGACTCCGTTCAACTGCTGACGGTGGTACGCCCAGTTCAATCTGATAGCGGGTGGCAATTTCTCTGTTAACTCTTGGAGCAGGGCTACGTTACACAGATACTCGTCCAGACCTGACGCAGTAATGGCGGCACAGACATTTTGCACTGCTACTCCAAAGTCTATAAGTGTATTAAGCTTCTCCGCCTTCGGTGCTGGCATTTCACGAACCTTGTTGACCAATGAGTGGATGATGATCTCTGGCCTTCCGAATAGGGTTTTCAGCGTCGAGATCACACCTGGTAAATTCGTAGGATGAAGCAACCGGCAGCGCACCGCTTCCAATGCTCTTCCCTTCAAGCTTTTCTGAAGACGCAGAAGATTTTCCTCATCGCTGAACCCACATATTCTAGTCGAGTTCTCGTAACTTGCTAGGAAGAGCGGCCACTCCTCTGGATTCCCGGAAAAGTTTGGAAGTTCCTTGGTTACCGCTTGACGTGCTGAAACTTGGCTTTGGCTAAGCGATGGGATGCCGAAGAGACTGCTCCTAGTTGGTTGGTACGCCATCGTCTGAGGATTCAAACCGAAACCTCCAGCTGCTCCTCCGTCGACATTCGCGTACCGTTGTAGTAGTACACTTCGTTCATCTAGATGCTTCCTTTCCAATGCCTGCCTCTCTTGTAGTAGCTGCAACTCTTGCGCTAGATCGGTGCCTTCCTGGTTCACGGTGATTTGTGGAGGAGGATTCCCAGTCGAACTCGCTCTCGGCACTCCATCAAGTTGATTAACGGACGTACTTGAACCTCCAGCCTGCAGGGATTGATTGCCAGTCGAACTCGCTGTTGAACCGCTACCACTTACACCAGTTGATCGCAGTTGGTTTCTCATCAAATCTCGCACACGTTGCTCCGTATTTTTCAGCTCCTGGTCGTATTTCTTCTGTTGATCTCTGAGCTCCTTCAGACGCTGGTCGTCTTTGTCCTTCATCATACGTTCGAACTCCTTCAGCCTTTTCTGCATCGCCGCTAACTGCTTCTGCAACAGATCATCCCGACTAGTCTCCGGCAGCTTGTTGACATTCGACTTTGGTATCGCTCCCCCCGTGGCCACTGGTGTAGATGTGCCGGTTGGGACTTCAGCTGCTGTAACTAGACATTTTTCGCAGCTCCAATCCCGTTCCTCAACATTCGAATCCACACTGACACACGCGAAATGGTACCACTGTTCACAGGTATCACAAGCAACCATTCGACTATCGTCTGGCTTCTTACAGATACCGCAGCTTGTTCCTACCGGCGGATTATTTACCGGAGAAGTTCCCCGCTTCTGACTTTCTGACCGTTTTGACATACTGACCACCGCCCAAAGCCCCCGATCGATAAACGGATTTTTTAATTTGTTGTGCGAGCAACCGACAGGAAGAAAAATATTTCCAATTCTCTAACATTTATTTCACGGGATGTTAAAAAATCCCTTCGGGAAGAATTAATAAGAAATACATACATTAGTTTGGGCTTGGGCTATAAGCTACAATTCGTGTGTATCTTTATGTTTAGGATACTTGTTAGATGTGTTTGTTTTTCTTAATATACGAGTTTATGTTGATGGCTACTTACGTTTACTGTTCTTCTAGTAATAAATCTGTCCGTACTCGCAACAATCCGTACTATTTATGTGTAGCTGTGGGAAATTTTTATGGTTAGGTTAAACTGTGCATGATTTGCCTTTTGATTTTTTACCTGCCTTTTGTCTTTGTGTAGTTAGTAGTATAGTTTGTAAGTAGTTCATAAGTTTGCAAAACACCGCCCTAGTATTTAATCTAGATTTATGTAGGAGTAATTAATTTTTAAACAAGGTTGTTCCTCTTTCACAAAAAACCTCACCTATTCACATGGAAGTTGTTCACTCTTTTGCCCTACCAAGAAAAAAACTTCCACATCATCGCGTTTGACAGCTGGAAACCACGGTCGGAGTTGGATTCTGGTGGCGAGGTTTTTGTGGTGCATTCTGCCACCGAGGTTGTTGTGGTAGGAGAGGTGCGTCACAAGGCACAGGGTTGTGACAAGGGGTGAATCGATTAGCTTGGGACCGAAGAGAGTACCAGAGCTGAGCCAAAAAGTTGAGCACGTTATTTCGGGACCTTCTAGTCTTAGAGTTACCTCTATGGTATAAGTCTGATGCTTTGGCAAAAATGTATAAGTAAAACATATGGATAAAATAATTGATTTTCGTTTCGTGTGGCGAATCTCTAATGGTGGTAAGCTCCAACCGGTATTATCCTCGGATTAAATCCCGATCAAGAATGTCCGGCTAGTTTGATGTCGACATCAGAGTTAATCAACATAACTCTGAGCAAACATTTTTCAGATCATACAAATAGGGACGGGATTAAACATTAATCCGAGATGGAGCTTACCGCCACAAAAATTTCTTAACTAAATATTAAAAAAAAAACCTTGGAGATTTTTGCAACCATCAGTATAACAGTTCTCTCTTCGAAATGTAGGTGGCGAAAGCTCGCAAAAGTTTCACTGCAGTTGCGTGCAAGTCACCAAACATTCGATCGTTCGTTTTAGCTCAGTGCATAAGAATCAACTGTGACACTCCCGTCGAGGTTTGTTGACATTCGGTTATGCTTCAGAGTTCAATAACAGCAAAACATTCGCCCCCGTTCGCTTTTTCATTGTTTTTTCGTGTGTGTGATTCAGCTTTTCATCCAGTGCTAAGCAACTGTTGGAAAAAATCGTGTTTTCTGTATTTTTCCTGTTTGAAAATCGTACGAAATGGTTGAATCCGTGGCAGACGATTGTAAAAATCCGGACGATGGACCGCAAAACGTGCTGGACGCGTTTGACACCCAGGACAAGGCGCGGGTGTTGGAGCTGATTGGGCAGCTACCGGCTGCCGAACTGACGGAAGACCGTTTCGAAGAAGCTTACGAGGAATACTCGGAAGTGCTGGCCAAGTACCAGGAACAGCCGCACCTGTTGGACGGCAGCTTGGAGGAGCTGGTGGAGCGAATTCTAGGATACATATTGGACAGGGAACAGAGCCAGCTTGTGAAGCACCGGGCGGCCAAGTATCTGTATCAGATTAGCAAGGTGCGTACGTTCAAGGCGTTTCTGAAGTATTTGCCCCATGAGATACGACACTTGAGCTTCGTGCTGGGGTACTTGGAACAGCAGGATCAAGAGGATTGGAAGAACTGGGAGACGCGATTTGTGTGTTTGTTGTGGCTGTCCATTCTGGTGCTGAATCCTTTCGACTTGAGCCGGTTGGATAGCGATGAAGGTGAGAAGAGTACGATGGAACGGATTTACGAGGTGTGCAAGGTGAACTGTCTGAAGGATGACAGCTGCACGCCGGTAGGAGCGTTTTTAACATCCAAGTTTCTGATTAGGAACGATGTGAAGAAGGTTTTTTTGGGAGACTTTCTCGAATGGGCCACTACCTGTATGGATATAATTGTGGATCCGAAGCTTGGGCCACTGTCGGGAGTTGCATGCGTTTTGAAGCATGGAAAACGGGAAGATCTGCTTCCGTATGTGGAAAAGCTTGCCGACTGGGTTCTGCATCTGGATTACGAAAAAGTGTCGGCAAATTTTAAAGTTTATAAAATTTGCATCAAGATTAGTCAAAGGATTGGACTGGTGTTGCTTCCCCCTCGAATAGCCAAGTGGCGATACCAGCGAGGAGCTCGATCGCTGTTGGCCAACGTTCAGAAGACTGTGACGACTGCGTCTCTGCAGGCGGAGACTCCAAAATCGGACGATTCCTCACCGGATGAAGCCGATTTCGAAGACGACGACGAAGTTCCGGCAGAAATTGAAGAAATAATCGAAAAACTCCTGCTGGGACTGAAAGGCAACTCGACCATCGTTCGTTGGAGCTCGGCCAAAGGAATCGGCCGTATTACGAATCGCCTACCGAAGGCACTTGGAGACGAGGTGGTTTCCTCAGTCATAGAACACATCAGCCCTCTGGAGCAGGACGATGCTTGGCACGGAGCTTGCCTGGCCCTGGCAGAACTCGCCAAACGTGGACTTCTGTTACCAGCGCGTCTCCCGGAGATAGTTCCACTACTGTTGCAAGCTCTGGTTTACGACGAAATCCAAGGCTATCGGAATGTGGGACAGAACATCCGGGATGCCGCGTGCTATATGAGCTGGGCATTCGCCCGAGCCTATCATCCGGCCATTTTGCAACCCTTCGTCGAGCGAATTGCGTCTGCCCTGCTGGTGACGGTTGTTTTCGATAGGGAAATCAACTGCCGACGTGCAGCTTCCGCCGCCTTTCAGGAGAGCGTTGGCCGGTTGGGGAACTTCCCACACGGAATCGACATTCTAACGGTGGCGGATTTCTTCTCGGTTGCCGTGCGCAGCAATGCGTTTTTGGCGATAAGCGATTTCATTTCGCAGTTTGAAGAGTACCGGAAGAAATTGATTGGTAGGTTGCTTGAGAGGAAAGTTGATATTGGCATTTAATAAAGTTTCCATTTTTCAGATCATCTTATCGCGAAGAAGATCAACCATTGGGACACCAACATTCGGGAGTTGTCGGCCCAAGCGTTGAGCAATCTGGCCAAGCGAGATCCGGTCTATATGCGGGATGTGGTCCTACCGAAGCTATTCGACCTCACGGAAACAACGGATCTGAATGCCCGCCACGGCGCAACGTTGGCCATTGGCGAGATTATCCTATCTCTGAAGCGACTGGCAGACCAACAGCAGTTGGAAGGAGAAACGTTCCTCTCAAAGCAGGTGGTGGAACGAGGAGGACAGTTGGTGATCAAATTCCGTCAGCGAGGGCAGTTCAAGGGAATGAGCGGCACCTACATGAAGCATGGTTGCGCTAGTTACATCAAAAATTGCAGCGATGCCGAACTCCCGCTGTTGGCGGAACAGATTGGTAAGTGTGTGGCAGATTGGGAAACCTCTTTAAAATAGATTTCAAATTGACCCCATAATCAATTTAAACTAAACAGTCGTACGGTCAATAAATCAGGTAAATCAGGTATAACATTAATTTCCTATAAGTCATCAAGTCAATCCAAACAGTACATGTCAAACCTAAAAGTCATTCAACTTATTTCAGAATCCTGGCAGCTTCTTCTGGACGAATCGATCATCGACGAGAAAAACACCACTCGAGAGCTTGCGGTTTGTGCTTTCTCCTCTTTCTGTTCCACCTACTATCGCAGCGAAGACCCAGCCAAATTGGCCATGCTGATCGATAACTACCTAAAAGATATGCGGGACACCCAAATTGAGCACAAATCCCAAGGAATTGCAGCCGCTCTCGGCGCATTGCCCAAATTCATGCTACTGTTGAAAATGAAGCCAATCCTCGAAACGATTGACAACAAAACGGTCCTGCCAGAGCTGTATGCCGTTGGATACAATCACTCCGAGATGCGGCGCGATTGCATCAAAGGATTGGCCAACATCGTGCATACGGTGGGCTTCGAAGATGACGTTTTGGATTTGGACAAGGTCTACAATATCTATCTAAGAGCCTTGGAAGAGTACGCCATCGATAATCGCGGCGATATTGGTTCGTGGGTTCGCGAAGCTGGCGTCAATGCGTTGTTCCAGTTTTTGACTTCGTGCCCGGCGGAATTGCTTAAACCGGAACAGGTCCGGCGTGCTATGGTAGCAATTGCGAAACAATCCGTAGAAAGAATCGATAAGATCCGAGCCGTGGCCGGGAAGATATTCGTTTCGTTGGTCTACCACGACCCAGAAATTCCACACATCAGTCACAGGGAAGAACTTAAGGCCATTTTCCCCGAAGATACCACGGAGATCTTGTGGCTGTTTCCGCACCACTCATTCCCGCTGTTGATTCAGCTGTTGAATTTTCCAGAATACCTGTCCAGTATCGCCGGGGGGTTGATTCTTTCCGTAGGTGCTCCAACGGAGTCCCTCCACAGTTGCGCTTCGAAGGTGATGAACGAATATCTCAAAACCCATCAAAGTCTAGTTCCGCAATTTGGAGCGACCGTGCAGCGAATTCTGCAGGCAAAAGCAACGAAGGATCCGCTCGTTATGTCGTCCACGTTCCAATTCATCTCAGAACTTTTGTCGTCATCCTCCAATTCCACTCTGTTGCTGTCGGATGAAACATCAGACTTCCCGGAAGCCATCTTCACGTTGACGAACGATCTCATCGCGCATAGCAAGAAACACCTTAGTTCTATTCCAGCATACTGTGCACTCATGTTGGCACCGAAGATATGCAAACGCGTCCTGAGCAAGCTGGTCATGTACCTGGGGATGCTGTGCGTCAACATTCGGCGGGAAACGGCGCTCAAAATGTACGAAACCTTGCTGGTTTACGGGGATCAAACTTGCATTCCGGAGGAAAATTTGGACGAAGTTTTGGCCTGCTTGAGTGAGGAGAAGTGGGACGGAGAACTGGACGAGGCGAGGAAGATTCGCAATCAGTTGTGCCTGTTGGTGGGCATCAAGCCACCCGTAGCTAGGGTAGTGAAGTAGGTAGGTTGCTTATCCGCACAATGCATTTAAAAGGTATTTATTAACGTTGAATTTCACGCGATCGCTTGCTAATATAATATTGTATGCTTTATGGAATGCGCCTTATGTCACCCAGTGATGATGCACGTTTAAATAAAGTGAAACCATACTAACTAACTGATTATATATTTGGGCTTGGTCTACCTTTGTTTGCTAATACATACCGAACATCGAAAAGGACGATGGCTTCTTAAAATAAGGATAAAAAATCTAAACTTTGGTAGCTATACTCAAGCTGAACATTGCATTAGGTCCTAAGTAACATTGACATATTCTCTTCGTCGGCTTTCCCTTTGTTTCCCTATGGCCATGTAAAGACATTCCCAGGTATTTTCAGTACACAGATCGATAAAAGATGCTTTTATCTAGCATCTAATACGACAAACACAACAAGAAACGGTTATGTGCTCAAGTTATTAATGAAAGAGAAAGTCATTCTTTGCTTGACAGGATGATCATTCTTTGCTTGACAGGATGATCATTCTTTGCTCGACTGTCGAGCTGTTCAGTCCGTATTTTCGCTCGAGTTCTCGATTCGATTTTGTTTCGTTTTGTGCTGTCGCGCTGCGTCGTAAAAGTGTCGCCACCTTCTCGCGTTCTGGCAAGTTTAATTGAACTTGCAAACACGAAACAAATGGTGCGTAAACGTGCCAATGAGCCAGCAGCGGGCCCTTCAAAGAAGGTGCTAATCAAGCCCAGCGCGTCGCAGGATGACGCCGGAAAACGAGTACTGCAAGCCAACCAGTATGCAGTACTCCCGGAAGAAAATGGCGATGGTGACGCTGTTCCCATTGCAAGACGAGAGCGGATTCCCCCGCTTTTCACGCCGGTGAAGGATGTTGCCAAGCTGGGTGCCGAACTGGCAAAACACAAGCTGCTGCCTCGCTTCAAGCTTTGCAGCATCGGTACAAAAATCATGTGCTCCAGCTTGGAGGAGTACAAACAAATAGGAAGTTTCCTGAAGAACAACAACGTGGACTTCTTCACGCATGATCTGCCATCGAGCAAGCCACTGAAGGTGGTTTTCCGTGGATTACCGTCGTTCGAGGCTGCTGCGGTGAAGTCCGAGCTGGAGCGACTTGGGCTCCAACCTGAGGCCGTGTTCCAGATGAACCGGCGTCCCAACCAAAACACCAGCTTCCGTGATCAGTTGTTCCTGGTGCATTTCACGAAGGGATCCACCAGTCTTGCGGCTCTGAGATCCAAAATCCGGGACCTGTTTCAGGTCATCATCAGTTGGGAGCATTACAAACCCCAACATCGTGATGTAACGCAGTGTATGAACTGCCTCTCATATGGCCATGGCACCAAAAACTGCCACATGAAGACAAACTGCGGCAAGTGTGCTGGAACTCACTCAACTGCGTGCTGTGAGCAAGTCGATGACATCGAGCCAACGTGTGTCAACTGCGGTGGAAACCACCAAGCCTCCAATCGCGGATGTCCCAAGCGAGTGGAGTTCATTAATATCCGTCGGAAGGCCACAATCAACAACCAGCTCGGTCACCTTCGTAATCATCGTTCGCCTCCTGTACTAACGGAAGTCCAGTACCCAGCTCTCCAGCCCCGTCGACATGTTCCGAACCTAGCCCCGCTTCCGCTCAACAACCAACAAGCCAATCCCGCGAGTATCCAAATGGTTCCCAACAGTCGGACAGTTCAGCATCGTCTCGCTGTTGCTGCGGCCCAGCCAATTCCAGGTTCATCCACCGCCCCTGGTTTATCATACGCTGGTGCTGTCTCAGGTGAATCTGTCGACGATTTTCCGTTCACCTCGGAGGAACTTGTGACGCTCGTGGCCGAGGTCATCATCAACATGCGTACCTGCAAGACTCGATCTGAACAGCTTCATGCTGCCTTGTCACTCGTCACCAAGTATGGACTGTGAAGCTATAAAAATTGCAAATTGGAACGCTTGCTCACTGACGAACAAGCATAAAGAGCTACTCGATTTCCTCAACACCAAGGAGGTCGACATTGCTATCATCACCGAGACGCATCTGAAGCCCGAACTGAACGTATTCCTTCCCGACTTCCGGCTCGTCAGACTTGATCGCACCTGCTCTGGAGGTGGAGGAGTGGCCATCGCTGCAAGACGGAACATCAGTTGCCGGCTGCTACCAAACTTCCAGCTGAAAACAATTGAAGCCATCGGAGTGGAGGTGAGCACATCACTTGGCCCAATCACCATCATCGCGGCCTACTGCCCCAAGCAAACCAACATCAGGGACGGGTCGTCAGTGGCCCTCCGCAAAGACATCATCAAACTCACCCGGAGGAGCGGGAACTTTATCATCGCTGGCGATCTGAATGCAAAACATCAAGCTTGGGGCAACGGTCGGAGCAATAGAAACGATATCATCCTCAATGAAGACCTGCAAGAGGGCCACTATACCATCTTGGCCCCGGACTCTCCCACCCGGTTGAGTCGGTCTGGGGTCCATGCGACCATCGACATCTTCGTAAGCAACATGGGACACAACGTCTCGCAACCTGTGACATTCCAGGAGCTGAGCTCGGACCACTACCCGGTGGTGGCCGAAGTTGGATCCTCGGTAAACCGATTCGAAGCTTCCCGGTGCAACTACCATCGAGTCAACTGGGCGCAATATCAACACTGCGTCGACACAACCATCGACTACGATGTCCAACCGGGGACGTCGGAAGATGTTGACCGGTGTCTACAAACCATCGAGGAGGTGATTTCCCGGGCCAGGGAACAACACGTGCCAGTATCCAGACAGGTGAGTAACACTCTGAACCTTGACGGCCCTACCAAAGATCTCATTAGACTCCGTAACACCATTCGTAGGTAGTACCAGCGTACTGGCCTGCCTAACTTGAAGACCAATTGTAATCGATTAACAAAGATCATTCAGGCCAGGATGGTGGATCTCAGAAATAACGATTTTGCTAGTAAGATCCGCTCTCTTCTAGATTGTGCTAAGCCCTTCTGGAAACTTACAAAAATTCTTAAAAACAAGCCTAGGCCCATTCCCCCACTGACCCCACTGGATCGTCCCGGCGACCCAGTGGTTCATTTTATAACTCCTGAAGAGAAGGCTGCCGCGATAGGTCAACACTTCGTCAGCTCCCATAATCTCGGACAAAACATCGTCAGCCCTCATGAATCTGAGGTTGCTGAAAATGCAACCAATCTTCTTCAGATTCCTAACATTTTTCCCGAGGAATCCGAGATTACAGCTGACGAATTGTTGGTCTTTATCAAATCATCTAAAAACATGAAGGCCCCAGGTTTCGACAACATTCTGAATCTGGAGCTCAAACACTTGATCAGATCTTAACAGACTCCGTAACACCATGCAGTTCCAGTGTTCTGGGCTGCCCCACTTGAAGACCAATGTCAATAGACTAACCAAATTTATCCAGGCCAGGATGCTGGAACTCAGGAATAACGATTTTGCCAATAAGATTCACTCTCTCCCAGATTGTGCAAAGCCATTTTGGAAGATGACCAAAATTTTGAATAATAAGTCGAGACCGATCCCTCCGCTTTCCTCTGTTGACCAGAACTCAGTTGAAAAGGCCAATGCTCTTGGCCAACATTTTGTGATTACACATAACCCCCCATGAGCCCCCATGAGCCTGCCGTACTGGAAACAATGCCTAGAGTCGCTGACGCTACGCGCTGACGTAGTAGTGCATGATGATGGTAGAATATCGGCAGATAAGGTGATAGCAGCTATTAGAAGCACTAAAAACATGAAGGCTGCGGGTATGGATGGTGTAGTCAACCTCGAGTTGAAAAACTTGAGTATTGACTTCTTCAACCACCATACGATCATACCGTTATCTTCAACACATTTTTGGAGCATGGCTACTTCCCTGCATGCTGGAAGTTAGCCAAAGTGATTCCAATACACAAACCTGGCAAAGATCCTACCAGTGCCAAAATCTATCGCCCCATCAGCCTCTTGTCCTCTATCTCGAAGCTATTCTGATAGGTGATACTCAGCCGGTTACTGGAGTTCTCCAACGAAAATAACAGGAGCAATTCGGGTTTAGGAAAGGACATTCGACGATCCACCAATTAAGTAGAGTTGCTAACATCATAAGGCGGAACAAATCTGTTTCAAAAACATCTGCTATGGCACTGTTAATGTTGAGAAGGCGTTTGACAATGCCTGGCATGATGGCCTAGTGTACAAACTGCATCGATACAACTTTCCGATCTACCTCGTGAAGATCATCAAAAACAAGTTGTCGGGCAGATCATTCCAGGTCTACTTGAACAATGTCCCCTCTGATACGTTCAACGTTGATGCAGGGGTCCCTCAGGGTAGCCTGCTTGGGCCTATCCTATTCAACATTTTCACGTCAAACGTTTCTCCCCTGCCGGGTGGTGGTATCCTGTCAATGTTCGCAGATGACACCTCCATAAGTGTCGAGTAATCCGTGCTCTGGCGAGTAAACTACAATCAGGCCAGGATGTTCTGTCCGACTGTTTCACGAGCTGGAAGATTTGTATCAATGCAGCTAAAACACAAACCATTCTGTTTCCACATTCGAAGTCACCTCGGCTTGTTCCGGCTGCTAACGTCAAGATCCATCTTGATAGCACTCCCATTGAATGGTCGAGTGAAGTAGTCTATCTTGCTCTCACCCTCGATAGCAAATTGCTATTCCGATCCCATGTGGATAAGACATCCACCAAGTGTAACATCTTGATCAGGTCGCTCTACCCTCTGATAAACAGGAAGTCCACCCTGTCCCTCAAAAACAAGCTTGCTGTCCACAAGCAAATCATTCTGCCGGCTATTGAGTATGGTATGCCAATCTGGGAGAGTTGTGCTAAGTGCCACCACCTAAAGCTTCAGAGGATCCAAAACAAGATCCTCAGAATGATCCTTAACAGTCCACCGCGAAATTCACCACCTGGCCGGTCTTCAAACACTCGAGGAGCGAAAGACGTCCACGCTGGAAAGGTTCAGAGTCGCCCGTCTGCGATCAAACCACCAGAACATTCATGATTTGGCAACCTAGTTTAAGTAGTTAGGTAGGTTCCTGTGCTCAAGTAGGTAGGTTATCACATTTTTAAATTCTAACGAAAACAAGCCCTTAAAAGGGTATCCTGCAAATTAGCGCTAAACCGAAGACATCAAATCAAGAAGACTGGCAACTCTGCCAGAATCCAAGCGACAGATACAATATTGCTGCACTCGAGTGAAGGTGGAAGTAACGCATATAGGAATAGACTTCTCTGACGTTTGTGAATTGCTCAAGTATTAGTGCAGAACTTTGGGTAAATTCAAAGGTTTTCTTGCACTACTACTTATAATTTACCCAAAGTTCTGCACTAATACTTGTGCATTTCACAAACGTCAGAGAAGTCTATGAGAAAATACACAAACAAGTCTTCTGAGGTTGTATTCTTTGCTATCCAATTCGTTCGAAGCATTTACCGTTTCGCGGCAGATGACGCGATTGTGCCGGTCTCATAGCAGTCGTATGAGAAAATGGTAGAGTTGCCAGTCTTCTTGATATGTTGTCTTCGGCTAAACGCAATCATCATATTAGAATAACCAATTAACTAGAAAAAAGATGACAGCCAAAGGCTAACCTATTGAAATATTAAAGCAAGTATTGGAATATTAAACCAAATATTGAAACAAAACAAAAAACAGCTAATAAACGTAAATTAAAAAAAAAAAAAACCGTCAAGCAGGTCAGTTCGGTCTTAGCTCACTCTCTCCAGTTGTTCGGAAAGTTCGTTGCGATAGTGTTCGCGTTCTGTCTTTCGCGGTGTTTCTGAACCCGACGCTCAGATGGCATCGAAGAAACTGCTGGCGAACATCCGTTACGCCGTGTTGGAAAATGGTGATGAACCGAAGGTGGAAAGGAAGGAGAAACTTCCGCCGTTTTTCGTAAAGGGATTCCCGGATGGCTTGCGGAAGACTATAGACTATTAAATTAGTAAAGGTCTCCCTCGAGGTCTCCAAATTACCATGCTGGACAAACTGAAGGTGGAATATTTCTCCCACGATCTCGAAGCCAACAAGCCGCTCAAGGTGGTGCTGCGTGGCCTCTTGGACATGGATACCGACACACTAGAAGGCGAACAACCTAGAACTAGCCAAACATTTTAAGCTGGCTCGTCAAGGCGCCATTCATAAGTATCGTGATCAGCTGTATCTGGTCCACCTCCAAAAGAATTCAACGTGCATGACGGATCTGCACAATCTTCGAGCCCTATTCCACATCGTGGTGAAATGAGAATTGTACAAGCCAGTACATCGTGACATCACTCAATGCACAAACTGTTTACAGTTCGGGCATGGAACCAAAAATTGCCACATGGCCAGTCGCTGCAACAAATGTGGCAAAAAATACAACTCCGGCGCTTGCGAGATGATGGAGGCAACTGATGCCATATGTGCCAACTGTGGGGCAACAAACAAGGGTTGTCCGAAATAAGTCGCAATCCGCAAAAAAGGCTTCCATAAGCAACCAACCAGGAGGGGGTACCAGAAAATAACGGGCAGAACTTCCCTGCCATTGGCCAACGGTGACCGATTCCGGTGCTTCCACCACTCCCACTCAACAACCGACTGGCTGCTGCTGCTGCATCGGTCTCGTTAATCGCTGGTGTGCCCAACCCTGCGTCAAATTCGAGTCGTCAAACGTATGCGGTAATCGCTATGGGAAGTGTTGCTAGTTTCCCTACAACTGCTTCATTCCACAGCCGAGTAGTTCTGAAATTTATTTTGCTGAGATTCAGTGAAACAATTGCAGAGACTCAGCTAACAAATAACATTTTGCTGAGATATCAGCTAACAAACAGGTATTTTGCAGAGATAATCAGCAAAAGGAAATGCCGAGGTGATCGGCTGTTGGTAATTTTACCGTGCTAGATTAAGTGTGTGCTTTTGGAGCTACTGTATATGGACGATCAAATGTAAAATACTGTGGTAGTCACAGCATAGTTCTGTCAAACATCAGCAGTTTCATTGATCCATTGGTAATCATTAATTTAAAGGCAACCAATTCGCGATATATTCCGCATAAAGTTGATCGATGTTACAAAACCATCCATGGACCTTACTGACTACCATAACTATTACCATTAAAGTTATAAAATCATAAATAAAAAGGTTCTAATATAATTCCTTTTTCGAAAATGTATTGAGAAAACAAGAATGTGGCATGATAATGGTTCTTAACAACCCATTATTTGTAAAGTCCACTGCGAAAAATCCATAATACATATAAAGTTAAAACTTTATCACACAAACGTTCATGTAAAGTTCCATAACAATTTCAGTTGAAGTTTAGAGCAGAGATTATTAACAATTTTTAACCATTTTTGGTAAGGTCAAGTCAGTGCTAACATTTGAAAACGGCACAAAAGCCATTTGTAAACAAATGGTTTGTGGGCCCTTTACTCACAACTTGAAGTACACCCACGCGATACAACAGCAACATCGGGTAGGGGAAATTTTCCCCTTCCTGGCGATGCTGTTGGTTTGCGTGGGCGTTCTTCGGGTAGCGAGTAAAGGGCCCACAAACCATTTGTTTACAAATGGCTTTTGCGCCGTTTTCAAATGTTAGCACTGAAGTGATGGTTCGCATTTATACGGGTGATTTTGAGACGTATGACCTAAATCTGGACCTGAACTTCATCACAGAATCAACTGTGGCATTCGTAAATATCGCATAAACTCTCCATCGAATGACCACTCCCTCGTCGTGTGTTGTTTTTTACGTTTTTTATGCGCAAACTCCAACTGTTGACAGATGATCTCCGAAAGCTCCGCACCTGCAGTTTTTGTTTACAAAATCAGCACCGTCGTCCTGTGTCGCGCCCGTTGTTGTCCTCCTCCGCGACGGATTTTGTTGTTCTGGATGCAAAGGCAAGGGCAGAAAGAATCTCTCTCGGCTCCACCAGCACCAATGGCTAGTGAAACGTCGACATGAATACATGGTGATTGGTGTTATTTTCTTTTTCTCGAGCGCCGCAACGCAGAATCTCAAAATAATCAAAGCATATAATCACGTCGCGTGTGTCGAAAGTGTTCGCTACTTATACGTGTCATTATCTTCATTATGGATGGATAGTGCGTTGTGGTAAATGGTGATGTTTTGCCTGCGGATGTGGAAACTACTTTCGGAGAGAATCTCGTAATCCACGGCACGACGGAGGTGGTAGCTGAAGCGTGAAGCAAGAAAATCTGCGTGTGTGTCGAAAGTGGTGTGTTATTCGGGGGAATGTTGTAAAAGATTGACCAGCTCCCAAGTCAAGAATCTCAACAATGAAGATCTGGTTTGATGTGAATAATTTAGTCTAATAGAGGTGCGATTCTCGGTTGGAGGCTGTGGCAGTGAAACTGGTAGCAGGTCTCGTGACAAGAGAGCACAAGGAGATTGCGAAACGAAAATAATCTGGTCGAGAGGAAAGGATTTTGCTGTTCTTGTTTTTATTGGATTGGAACGAGCCTTGTTAGGATTGTAGCAGTGAAAAGGAATGAAGCAGTAGAATGTCCTGAAGGTAAGCCACTTTTTAATCTATAATCCAAATGTCACACCGAATGAGTATGGTTCGGAGCGTCGGAGCAGGGAGCTGAAAGTAGAAAAACATACAAATCGATCCAATGCAGCATTTCGCTTTGCGCTCGTCTTCTCTTCTTGATGCCAGAATCTTCCATCCCCAAAACATCATTATCGGTTATGTCATCCCTACTACCTACTGCTATGGCTGGCTCCCTGCCTGGCGGAGAAAGAGAGTGATATGCATGCGGGAATGTAATCTCACCAACCAGAAAAAAACGTGTGATTGATTTTCCTACACCCTGATCGGACTCGGCTGGCCGCTTCTGTCTGCATTGCAAAACAGTTGACCGACTTTACGGTCGCCGTCAGAAGTAGTTCTCTGTTCTCTTCGTTGGTACTTTCGAGGATGCGGTAAATTTGAAGCTATTAAGACGCTGATTTGTGGGTGGTTCGTGCTATCATAAACTACCATTTCGCCACTTAAAAGTTGTTATATTTAAGCTAAAAATTATGTGTTTCTCGAGAAATACTCATGAATCAGAACAATCATTTTGCGGAAGAACACCACTTATCGCTTCCATCTAGCTTCCCCGGTCGTTCTCAATTTACACATTTTATTAGCATTATATTTAGCTGCTACACAGTCGCACATAAAATCCTCCGGAAAGGTGGATTACTACCGAACGAGGAGATAGTGAAAAATCTCATTTATCATCCCTTATCAGGGAGAAAGCAGATATGTCAAGCCTCTCAGCATCATCATCATCATCCCTCCACCGGGGCCAGGACCTAATTAAACATAATATCTAGTCGTATCTGCATCGTTTAAATATTACTATGGATATAGAGATAACACCGACGATGACTAGAGCACTATTTCATCTCGACCGCAAAAGCGGCGGCGGGTGCGAGCGTAATTGCATGTAGGGATAGTAATAAATAAGCCTTCCTCAAACATTTCGGTGCGATGAAAAAGTCTAGCCGGAAAGCAAACATTGCCGGGATTTTTAATATGAGTTTTGATTCGCTTCTTCCCCGAAGAGTCATTCCTGCTTCGAATGGTGCTGCTTCTGGATGTTTGAAAAATCGTTTGCAAACGTCCAGTTTGTTGTTGGTTTTAAGGTAGGCCAGGCACAGCTTTTTCATATCTTTGGTATAATCATTGGCAATTAAATTTAAGGACCTTTTGAGATTTTAAATTTTTATTTTAAAAAATCGCAAAAAATTGAGTTTTGAATACGGTAGTCGTTTTTTTTTTTTTTGGAAAACAAATCTTGAGTACTTTTTCAAAAGGATCAATATAACATTTCTGCCATATTAAGTAGAAGTTCGACAAATTAGGTCTGTTCCCGTACTTGCGGTTTTTGCTTTTGCTATACTGCCGCTCATGGCAAGTCCGTCAGAGTAAACGAGAAATGTGAAATGTCCAGCATGCATACCAGCAACGAAAATAAAATCCAATTCAATTAAAGACCCCTAGCACCCCCATGTTGAATCGGATTTATCAATCAAAATTTCATCAAACACAACAAACGCCTTATAGTATCATATCATTAAAGTTTGAATAAGACCCAAGTAACCATAGGCACGTTATTCCGCCTTTTTGGCTATATACAGCTGAACAACGGCTATACCAGTGTTTGTTAGTTCTGATAAGGCCCGCATATAGCCAAAAAGGTGAAATAACGTGCCTATGGTTGTACTTGGGGAATTCGAATAAATACTCCTAGCGGTTACAAATCAATAATTCCAATTCCAGGCAACAAAAAGTAAAAAGTAAAATCAAATTCAATTAAAGACCCGTAGCAATCCTATTGCTTCAGAGATATTAAAACTAACAATATTTAATATCCCAACTTGCTTGCCGAATAGAAACCTATTCGTATTAAAATTTCAATGATTAATTGTTAAATGTCTAATTATTATGTGTATATGTCTAAAAATAAATATGAAAGTTAATATAAACTTCTTGTTAGGAATATACAAGTTACCTGCACACTCTACAAGTTAAAATGTTATATATATGTATAATAAAAGCAAGAACAAAGTTTGTTAAAATACACATTTAGTACACATAACAACACGTTAAAATTGCTGCAGGAGATGGTTATTGGATTGTCGCGGGTGGATATAGGACTAATGGAAAAAAAGGAGAAGAAAATAAAGAACGCCTAGCTACTGGGTCTGGAGCGACAATCGAGGCTTTTTCCAAAGTACCACGTAAGTGAACAGACCATCATACATAATTAAGAAAAGTAGACGAAGCTAGAACCTCGTGAGCGATTGTGGCCGTTTTTCCCCAGACACCCACGGAGCGAAAGGGGTTAGTCTGTACCGCGCGTATCCTGAAGTTTATCGGCTTGAGGCTTCGGCCTTGTGTTATGTCGCCAATCAGGACGTGACGACCCACGCTAGCTCCCAGTGTTACCCCCTTGTGGACCAAATCTCGGCAATCCAAGCCGGCCCCGAGGGGGACGACTCTATCTACGATGCAGGAAATATTGTGTTTTGCTGTGGCTAACTCCGCATACGCTGAGTAGATAGAAAGAATATTTATCACGATTTTGAAGATTTCCTGCAAAAAGATGATGCGCGATGCAAGTAGATGCGAGAAATGAAAGAAGATTTTTCGAAGATTTATTCGCTAGTGTAAGATTTTTTGAGCACCTAGAATTGAGATTTAAATGTGTCGCCCCCCTCGGCCGGCCCTCGAGTTTTGAGGTTAAACCGACGACGCTCTTCACGACATTGCGTGCTGTTTCCCTGTGTGAGCCACGCCCGACGGCAACCCTGGCCGTAGCCCGAACCACGGTCAATCACACTGGTTCCCTGAGTGATCCCAACCAGACCACGGCGCCCAGAACCATCACGGTCCCCTCCGACCATTCGCCCGCGACCACGTGTCCCCTCAGCAGCCGGCCGCCCATTACACACCCAACCCACTGTAAGTGTTGGTTAGGAAATAAAAAGGATTAAAGTGAATTTGTGTGTCGTTTAATGAAGGAAAGATTGGACTCTTGAATAGCGATTCCATGACAAAAGTCAACCCTGAGAGCGAGAGGCCTCAAGCTCGAGCTAGCCAGTAAAAAGAGGCGGATGTAGCCCACCCCAGACGACCTCCGTGGCTAGACCAGAGGTTAGGGGAACCTTTAGACCTGCCCTTCTGGCCAGGCAGTACCAAATTGCATCAAACAATAAAAACGCTTTTCAGTTGCATTAATTTTATTAACGTAGAAAATAAAATTAAGTTAAAGTATACAGGATATCCTCCCATTGCAGATCAACAATTTCAGTTTCATGAAGCATGCATATCATCAAAGACAAAATAATCAAATTCAATGAAAGAACCCCAGCGCCCCCTTTTTGCATCCGATTCATCAATGGATCAATGAAAATGCTGAGGTTTTGACAGAACTATGCTGTGACTACCACAGTATTTTACATTTGATCGTCCATATACAGTAGCGCCAAAAGCATGCTGTGGTGGGTTCAAAACTTGACCATCTAAAATGATCAATGGATCATTTTAGATGGCTGAGTTTTGAACCCACCACAGCTTGCATTTGGCGCTACTGTATACGGACGATCCAATGTAAAATACTGTGGTAGCCACAGTACGGTGCTGTCAAAACTTCAGCATCTTCAATGATCCATTCCGGAAACAATCTTAACGCCCTGCAGAAGCGTGCATATCATCAAAGTAAAAATATCAAATTCTATTAAAGACCTTTTAGCGCCCCTGTTACTTCAGGGACATTAAAACCAACATTTCCAATTTCATAAAGGGTGTCCACGATGAAATTGCCACACACAAAATTGATTCGCAAAATTCGAGTTTTCATTCGATTGCCATCAAATTTTCAGGGATTGAGAAATAACTATTAAACTTCATTTTACCATTTTACTCGTATTTTATTTAAAGTCCATACGCAAATGCCCGCACCTTGGCCTTAACCCCGGCCATAAGATTCTGCACAACCTGTGAATCAACCGTTTTTTGCATGTAAACCCATACTTTCTTCAGTTCCTCGACTGTCTTCACTACCTTAGGTCGTTTAAGAAGGTGCTGCTTCATAATCGCCCAGTACTTCTCGATGGGGCGGAGCTCCGGAGTGTTGGGAGGGTTGAACATTTTCGGCACGAAATTGACCTTATTGTCCGCATACCACTTCAGCACGTCCTTGGAGTAGTGGCATGAGGCCAAATCCGGCCAGAAGATTGTTGGGACGTTGTGGACCTTCAGGAGAGGAAACAGCCGCGTCTGGAGGCACTCTTTTATGTACACCTGTCCGTTCATCGTGTCCTGGGTCACGAAAGGTGCACTCCGCTTCTCGCACGTGCAGATGGCTTGCCAAACCAGGAATTTCTTCGCAAATTTGGACATCTTCTGAGTGCGGACAAGCTCCGGAACGCTGAACTTATCCTTGGCCGTGAAAAACAGGTTGCCGGGGATCTGTTTGAAGTCGGCCTTCACATATGTTTCGTCGTCCATGATGCAGCATTCAACTTTCGTCAGCATGTTGAGGTACAACTTCCTGGCACGGGTTTTTGGCGGACTTGTTCTGCTTCTCATCGCGATTAGGGGCCTTTTGTACCTTGAACGTTCGAAGCCCAGCCTTAGTTTTGGCCTTCTGGACAAAACTTCGGCTTAGGTGCAGCTTCTTAGCCACATCCCTAACGGAGGCGTTCGGATTTCGGTTGAAGGCCCCAACTACGCGGTTGTGATTTTTGGTGTTGTACGGAATACTTTTTCCTTCACTTCTGGGCTTCCGATCGGTGGTCAACCGTTCCTCGAACCGCTTAATCACTCGCGACACCGTGGAACTCGCGATTCCCAACGTTTTAGCGATGGAACGATGCGAGAGATCCTTGTTCTCGTGATGAATGCGCAAGATTTTATCACGCACGAGCTGTTCTTTCGACTCCATTTCCGCGAGTTTTGATCACAGGACTTTAAAACTTGCAGGATGTAAATAATGCACTATGAACTAAATCCAC